TAAAAAAAAAAAAGATAATTAAAATAAAAAATTCGAATATTTATTATTATATCAAATAAAAAAATATTTTAATTTATTTTCAGATTATTAATAATTTAATTAATAGAAAAATATAAATTAAATTATATTACATTCTTTATTCATACAATTTTTTTTTTTTTTTTTTTATAAATAAAAATGGATGCATTTGATTAATTTTAATTATTTAATGAAATAAAGAAGTAAATTCCCAAATAAATTTAATAATGGGAAACAGAAGATGTATAAAATTTTTTAGAAATAATAAAATTACAATAATTAAAGCAATAATTTTTAAAATAAAAAATTGATGGTTCAAAATTAATTAAAAAAATATATAATATGGAATACGAAGATTTTTGTAAAAATTACAATCATCATCAATATTTTTCATTTATAAAACTACAATTAATACTTTAAGTTTTAGAAGAAAATTACAAATAATATTTAAATATAAAAGATGAAAATAATAACGATTAATAATAATAATTTATATAGTATTTAGTAAGATAATAAAACTAAAACCAAAAATATAATATTGAATATCCTTTTTCATTGAAAAATTTCGAGCCAGTTAGATATAGGAGAATATAATTATCATAATTTAATACATAAGAAATATATAAATAAATGTAAATAATAAATTAATAATATACTATATTTTGGAGCGTATAAAATATATTGCAATTATGAATAAAAATAAATTTTACAAAAATTACTGATATCGTAAAAAAATGTAATATTGATGGATTTTGTATTTTATAAATAATTAAAATATATGGCTTTTTTTAAGAAAATGCTTTTATTGAAGAAACTAATGACTTAATATAGTTTAGTGATTTAATAATTTCTTGCAAATATTTATATATAAATAAATATAAAAGCTAGGGATAAGGATTAATTAATAATTTGTCAAGTAAAATAAAATTTAAATGTATTTAAATATAATTTATTAAAAAAAATAATATAAAAAAAGAAAGTATAGATACAGAAGACTCACCTGAAAATAATAATAATAATAATAATAATAATAATAATAATAATAATAATAATAATAATAATAATAATAATAGTAAAATATAAATTGAAAAATAAATTATTTAGTAAAAAAAATATATATAAAGATTTTTAGAATACATTCAAATATATTTTAAATTCGAATAATACTTTATCTTAAAAAGGAAATAGCTAAAATGAATTAGAATATAGCGACAAAGATTTAGTTTTATTAAACTAAATTTAAACCCGAAATAAATCATTAAGTATATATTTTTAAATGATTAAAAAAGCATAAAAAAATTAATGTTTTACTGAATATATAAAATAAATTGAATAAAATATTCCATAATAATATCAACCTCTATTATAATAAAAAAGTGAATATTATTCTTAAAATTTTATATTATTAGAAAATAAAAATTAAACAGAAAAAAAATATGAATAAGATGAAATAATAATTTAATCAAAAAACTAAAGTAATTTAGATATTTAAATTATTATTTAATATAAAAAAATTTAAATATTTTGTATAATATAAAAATAAAAATTAAAATAAAATAGAAGATTAAAGCATATAGAATTATTATACAAGCGAATAAAAATTTATAAGAATTGGATAAAAATCATTAAATTATTAAGAATAACAAGAAACATATAATAATATTGATACATAAGAAATATAACAAGAAAGACAAGAATATGCATAATCAATACTGTGTGATGAGCTTAATAATAATAATATTAATATTAAATAATAATAAAGTATATATCAAGATTCTATTATATGTACAACTGATAATATTGATAATTTAAGATAATAATATTCAGATTCAATACTTTTTGAAGCAAATACTAATAATGCAAGCGACTTGTTTAAACGATCTAATATTAGTTTAAATAATTTATAATAAAAAGTGTAATAATTTGCTAATTCATATATTTTTGAAGATAATAATTAATAAAATCAATTATAATAATCTATTATATATAATAATAGTATAAATATTTATAATAATAATAATAATAATGATAATAATAATGATAATAATAATGATAATAATAATAATAATAATAATAATAATAGTAATAATAATAGTAATAATAATAGTAATAATTATAGTAATAATAATGTTTTATAAAAATAAGTAAACGTATAAGAATAAGAATAACTAAATGATATTTAAATTTAACCTTTATATAATTAATTATAATCGAATTATATATAGTCAGTTGTTTGTGATTTAAATGGAGAAATAGATTATAGAAAATCAATATGTTATAATAATACATATTTAGAGAGATCTTCTCTATAAAAAAAATAAAACTAAATAATAAATATTATTAATAGTTAATGTTTAGATAGATAATTATCTTAAAACGAAATATAATATTAAGGAAAATCAAAAGAGCATATTGATATTATGAATAAACTTAGTTAAAAAACATTAATTCCTATTTTTAACCCATTCGATTTTTAACCTATTAGACAATTTAATAATCTTAAAATTCGTATAAAATCTCCTGATGGTGTCTATATTATTGATAAAACTGTATATGCTGAGGGTGCTACTATTGGAAGAAGAAAAGATAATGATATTAATTTTTTGGGAGATTATAGAATTAGTTCTTATCATGCAGTTATATTATTTTAAGGTTTAAAGTTTTTTTTAAAAGACAAAGGTTCTAAATTAGGTACTTTTATTAAAATTTAAGAAATTTAACTTAAAGAAAATATGTAATTTTAGTTTGCTTTTAAAATTGATTTATAAATACTTTCTATTGATGTATTTTTTTTTATTTTTGCTTCTATATATATAAATATATATACAAAAAAAGTAAGAGAATGGTATAATCGTTATAGAATAAAAGAGAAACTCGTAATCCATATAAAAAAATAAGCTTTAACTTATTGAAAATTAAGAAATAAAATTAGGAAGAAATAAGGAAAAATGTGAAATCGAATTAAAAGACTAAGAGTCGACTATAAGTAATGTACATGCGAAAATTGTATTTAGAAATAAATAATTTTTTATTATTGATGCTGAGTCGGTAAATGGTCTATGGTTAAGATTATCTAATGCAAATTAAGAAAGCGAACCTTATGAATTAATTCATAATTTATAATTTAGAATTAGCTATGTTAGTATTTAAGTTAGGTAGGTTAATTATATAGGAATATCTATGATTGATTCTCGGGATTCTAAAGTAAATGATTGCTAAATTTTTCAAAAGAAGAAAACAAATAATTTATAACAAACTGATTTAAATTGATTTTTTAAAAAAACAAAATAAAAATATAAATAATAAAACATATATATATATATATATATACATTTATATATATATTATATATTATTAGTTAAATAGATTTAAATATGTTTTTTAATAATCTTATTCTATATAAATTTACAATAAAAAAATAATATGGACGAAATAAAAAATAAATAATATTATAATTAAATATCCTAATCAAAAACATTTTTAATATTTATTCTTTTAATTTATTTACAAAATATAATATAAAGGAATAATTAGTAATAAAAGACTATTTTTAAGAAAATAAAAAATAATTAAATAATAATAATATTTATTATTATAGTAAATTTACAAATTTAACACATATAAATATAAAAATATATAAATAAATTTATTACTATATTATTATATTATTTTGAAAAAAATATTTAAAGTATAAAAGAACATTTTTTTATAATTTTCAAATCTAATAAATAAATAAATGGAAGAATTTTAAAAATAAAATATTTGTATGTTTTAAATTAAGAAAAAAAAGGGAATTATTAAAATGAATAAAAAGACGAATATTTAATTAAAGAATAATTTCAATATATTTTTAAATGAAAAATTTTAAGAATAATAATATATTAAGAGTTTATATAATAATAAATCAGATTTTTATTTATTTTATATATATGTTTGCATATTTTTAATATAAATTACGAGTTTTTTATATACATATATATTTTGTTTTAAAATTTTAAATGAATTTAATTTCATGAATTGAATTTTAGATTTATAAAGTAAAATAATAAAATAAAATTAAATATATAGTAAATTAAATATTTTACAATCTTAAAAAATTAGAATAAATTTGATTTTTTATTAATTAACGACTTTAAGTATTATATTATATTAAAACAATAAAATATCTATTAAACTTATTTTTTGTATTATTATTAGTAAATATAAATTAAATGCTTTTATGAAAACATATATTTTAATAAATTATATGACAATTTAAGAAACAAATTATAATATTAACATTTATTATGTAAATGAGAAAAAATTATATATATATATATATATATATATATAATAATTTTTTTAAATATATATATATATATATATATATATATATATATATATATTCATTTTTATATTT